GGTGGGAAGACATAAATCAAACAGATAAATAACGTGCATGGTAGCTTTTGTTTTTAAATGTAGCAAACATTGTTAATTGCCTTCCTAAAATCCACTCTTTTCATTCTTCTTGGTAATCAGAACCCTGTTTTTTTTAAGGGCAGCAATTTGCTGGATCAGTCACTTTTGCAGTAGAGGTAGTCAAGCACAAAAGTCCTGGCCAACTGTAAACATAAAAAGTAGGGATAGAGGAATACCCCAGTAAAGTATTTGCTTTCTACACAAAAGGGGACACCCGTGGCTGATGCCCCCACCCCTCTTTCTCCTCCCTTATTCCACTGAATGCAGATGTGATAACTAGAGTTGCAGCAGCCATCTTGTTGCCTTGAGGAAAAAGCCAAGAGAATGCAGTGTGACACTGCACCAGACATCCAATATTTTCTCTCTATGACTTTAAGTATGTAAGCCTAAGCTCCTTGTGGGAAAGTCTAGCTTGGCAGAGTCAACTGGCTTGAGAAAATGAAGCCAAGACCTAAAAAAAGTAAATCTGAGGGAAAGAGAGGGCATGCTAGAAAGCATGTGAGGAGAAAGAGGCTGTCCTCCATGCTTCTTTCAGTTTGGTTATATGAATGAATATTTTTTTCTTTTTTTAGGCTGGTTTACATTCAGTTTCTATTACTTGCAACTAAAGAATGCAAGCCAATATAACTAATGTGATTCTGAACTGCAATAAGAGGTATAAGGAAAAGAAATAGGTGCTATGAGAAAGAATAAGAAGGTAGTTAGGAAAGATTTGTACAAAAGCAACATGAAAGAGGAAACTTAAGAAATAAACACACGCCAGCCTGAAGAAAAGTTGAAAGAAAGGTTTCCCACCTGCCTCCTTCCACCCTACCCCATCACCAACATAAAATAAGTGTGCTCTAAACACAGTAGGGAAAGGTTTTCCTGCGAAGAGTCCTAGCGTGGGTGTTGGAACTTGAGATTGGGTAGAGCAGATTCTGAGATGTCTATGGACCCACCCAATAGACCTGGAGGTGAATGAAAAAGGCAACTCCATGCAAGAATAAAATATACTAAAACATACCACCTTATAGCAAAGTTTTTTTTACGCTGGTAATGGTAAAGATCTTGAGCTCCCCAGCCACACACCTTGAGGAAGGAAACTTTCTCCTCCACAAAATCTGCCAAAGTACACAGTACACCATGAGTGTCCTCCCATTTAAAGGAGATTTTGGATAAACATAAACAACTTTAACAGGAAACCAGCACAGCTGCCTTGATCAACATACCCTTTATTCATAAAAATGAATGGCATTTAAGAACTACCAGATATTAGAGAGAAACCAACATCATGAAAAAGCAATTGATTGCAGAGGGGGGAAAAAAAGTTAATGTAAGACAAAAACAACTTTTAACCAATTTTATTTAATGTCCTCAGAAAGGTTGTGTATAAATATATTCATAAATAAAAAACAAGCAGCTCTGAAAAAACAGAAGTCAGAGAATAACAGAATAATCTGGGAGATTAAAAATATGAATTTCAAAAGTGAAAAATTCAGTGTAAGGACCAAATAATTTTATTAAAATAATTTTATAAAAAACCAAATAGTGATCTGGGAAACATAGGGAAATCTACCTTAACACAAAAGACAGAAAATACGACAGAAAAGTTAAGAGATGCTCAATACATAAGCAGAAAGTAAAATCTATAGCTAACGGACATTTTAAAGGAAAAAAGAGACAAAATAGAGAGGAAGAAATACTCAAAGAAATAATAGAAAATTTCCCTGAGTTGAAGGAAACAATCCCTGGAATTAAAAGAGACAACCAAGTACCAAGCAATACAAACAAGAAAGACTCAGATGCAGCCTGATAAAATAATATAAGGAAAAGCTTAAAAGCTTCAAAGGAGGAGGAAAAACAGATTGCCTACAAAGAAATGAGCTTAGTTTGACTTTAGAAGTATCAGCCACAACAGGTGCTAGAAAGTACTGAGGCTAAGCCCTCAAAAGGAAAATTAAGACCAGAGTATTACACCAAATGATGAATCAAATGTAAGGACAAAATAAAGAAAATAAAGACATTTCTGGAATTTAAGGACTCAGATATTTTATCTCCCATTTATCATTTCTTCAAAATTATTTGATAATACAATCTAACAAAATGATGAATGTATTCAAGTAACAGGAAGATGGAAAATTCAAAACAGTGTAACTAATATAAGAGTTCATTTTTTTTTAAATCTCAGATTTTTAGCTGTGCTCATAAAGCTATATATTAATGAAAATTAGAACAGGAATCCTAACTCTTCAGAGAAAACAAAAGTTTTCAAGAAATAAGTAATTTATAAGTGAAACAAGCCAAGCACAGAAAGTCAAATATCACATTCTATCTCATAAGTGGGTGCTAAAAAATGTGTACACATGGACGTAGAGAGTGGAAGGATAGACAATGGAGACTCGGAAGGGTGAGGGGTGCTGGGGGTGGATGATGAGGAACTAGTTCATGGGTACAAGCTACCTTATTCGGGTGATGGGTACCCAAATAGCCTGAACTTGACTGCAGTACAATCCATGCATGTAACAAAATTAAACATGTACTCCATAAATTTGTACAAATAAAAGAAAAGAAGCAATTTGTACATTTTCATTCATCAAATAGTGCAATTAAGCTAGGAAATTTTGAGAATCAGTGTAATTTTTCGGTTAAAAGAAATTAACAAATTTTAAAATAAGTTGTAGAAGAACATTACAGTCCAAATATGAAGTAAAATAAACTCTAGTATCATTTTACGTAAAATTTGAGCATGATTTATAGTGAAGAAAAGATTTTTTCTTCCAGAGGTATGGTTTTCATGTCACAAAATTTTATTTTCTTTTTTTATGAGTCTAATTGTACTACCTGTTTCCTAATAATAATAATAAAAATAATAACCACCTATTATTGACACTTAACATATGTCCTCTTTTAAATTCTTCATATACATCCTATTCTAATGAAGGAAGTTCATTTATTAGGCAGTTTAATCCTTTCAATGACAGCACTGTGAGGTTAAGTGACTTTCGCTAGGTCACACATTGATTGGTGAACCCAGGCAACCTGGCTCCAAAAAACTAGCTCTTAAACACTTGGCTACACGGCCTCTTACGATGCTCTTTGGTACCTTACAATTCTTAGAATCAATTTGTTAACCTAAAACAAGACAGCAAACTAACAATTAGGAAACCTAATAATGTAAAAGTAACAACGAACCACAGTAAGGAGAGGGAGAGGAGTGTGTAAGTAAGCTATTGCCTAATTTTAATAAAAATGTTATATATAATTTATATAACTATTAGAAAAACTAAAAAGAAAAGTTAAAGATGGTAAATTAAGAAACAGCAACATAAGCAAATTATTCAGAGGTTTGGGAGGAACAAGAGAAGCTAAAAATAAAGAGGGAGTGGGGAAAGGGAAGCCTTGTGTTTTGTACCATTTACATTTTTATTAAAATTATCAGATATTATTTTATTACGAAAAATAATTCTAGAATACTATTATTGATAATAATAGTACCACCCTGTAAAAGAAGGATAAACTGAAGAGGGTACCTTTCAATTCTGGCATGGTAAAAGAAAAAAACAATAAATGTTACCAGAAGGAAAAAAGAGGAACAAGGATAATATATAAACGTATTCCAGCATACTCATCTTCTTTGCTAATTCTTTGTTTCCACATGATTATGGGCTAAATGAACCATTTTTTCATATGAACTCCTAAAAAGACATTCATTTCATTGGCTTTGGACAACTATTCAGTCACATCCACTCCAATCTTCCACCGTGCACACTTCATTTAAAGAAAGGGCTGTCTCAAGTCACACATTATTGGCAGGAGTCGACATTGGTATTACCTTTTTCAGGTCTAATTTGGAAGTTCTTATTAAAATGTAAAATATGGTTAGGTTACATTTTGACCTAATCATTTTGCTTCTCTGAATCCACCCTACAGAAACACTCCCAAATGCTCAACGATAACTGCACATGGACCTCCAATTTGACAGAGGAAAACTGATAACTAAAAACAACCTAAATGCACATTGGTAGATGGTAGAATATTTTGTTGTCATTTTAAAAATAAAATACATCTTTTATGTAGTGAGTGACACTGAAAGCTACCCACAACATATTGCTAAGTGAGAAAACGGTTCAGAATTATATATTATACAATTTTTTGTAAAAATATGTTATATATACACATACACATCACATATATAATGTGTGCGGCACCATGCTTAAGGTGTTGTGTGGAGGAGATGCTGCAAGTTTTTTTTTTTTTTACTTTTCTTTATTACCTTTTTTTTTTTACAATCAGCATGTATTGTTTTCATATTTTAAAAAATTAGGTCATGACTCAATTGTCATATATCTGGGATGGAAAAAAATCCAAAAAGGGAAACACTTAAAGTCTTTCCAAAAATTCATTCTCAAAATCAAGAAAAGTAATTCCACACAATAACTAGCACGTTGCAGTCTAGAATTAGGGAAAAGGCTAACGTCACTGGCTGGATCACTGGTTAGTGAACTAGGGCAAGAAAACGAGGGCACAAAAAGCAACTAACGCAGGGTTGGGCAGCGAAGCCGTCAGCCGCGCGGCGCAGGCAGCCGAGGGACCTGCAGGGAGGACGTGAAGGCTGAAGGGGGCCCGGGCGTGGGAGACGAAGGAAACTGGCCCGTGACGCTGGCACGGTAGGAAAAAACTGGGACTGGCTGTGTGGGAACGAGGTCGGAGGGTCAAACGACGGAAGGGGTGGGAAGGCGCTCCCAGGGCACTGCTGGAATCCAGGGAACCAGTAGGGAGCAGGAGGCGCGGCAGGCAGAGGAGGGTCAGGCCGGGGCGAGCGGCGAGAGTGGGCGGGGCGCCCGGGAGCCGCGCCGCGGGGCTTGTGAGGCCCAGCCGAGGCCGAGGCCCAGGCCCAGGCCAGGGGTGCGGGCCGGAACCCCCGCTCCGCGCCCGCGGCAGGCGCCAGCTGCCAGTACCTTCCCAAGAGAGCTCGCCTCCCGGCTCCCGCTTCAGGAACTTGTACCAGAACGTGTCCACGCGGCCCGGCTCCGCCCCGTCCTGCGCCGCCTCCTCGGGCGCCAGCTCCACCTCCCCGAGCCACAGGCCCGGCTCCTGCAGCGCCAGCGCCCCCGCGCCCGCCGCGGTGCCCGCCGGCCTCAGGCGCACCGCCCCGCGCGGCTCCCAGCGCCCCAGCTCGGGCCGCGACCCCACGACCAGCAGCTCCGGCCCGGCGCCGGCCACGGCGGGCGGCACCACCACCCCGAACCGGAACCGCATGGCGGCGGCGGCGGGTCTGCCGGGCCCGCTCTCCTGGTGGCCCGAGCGCAAGGCGGCCGCGGCGATTGGGCGGCGGCGGGGGAGGCCCCAGGTGCCCGCGGGGACACGTGCGGTTCTGCGCCTTTTTTAGGCTGCATCACGCGGCCGGGGAGCCCGGGCCTCGTCCGGGTCGGGGCTGGTGGCCGCGGCAAGTGGGCAGCGGAGCCACCAGGTGCCTCTGTCCGCGCCGCAGCCCCGCGGGCGGCTGATGTCCACTCGGGGTACTGGGGACGCGGCGAACAAAAGCAAAGGAAAAGAGAACGGATTAGGAAAGGAAGGAAAACTTCTCACAAGCCCCTCGATTGTCCAGTCATCTTTCCAAGAGACTCGAAAGTATCTTTATTAGGTCCTAAAGAAAGGAATGGCCTCTAGACAGCGGCCTCCAAATAGTGAAGTTGGGAGAAGATCCTGGACCGGTTCTCTGGAGCTCTGCAGCTCTTAACCAAGTCACTTACTCCCTTGTCTTAAGTTCTTTCTGTAAAACGAGGATATGAAATAATGATCTTTCAAGCTCTAAAGGTTCTCTGATTGGTGAGAGAGGCATCGCTAAGGACCAGGAGCTAATGCAAAAGCATTTCATACCTTTCCCTTGCCTACTCCAGTTTGAAGCCTGAAAAGACACAGGATCCCTTACTTTACTTTTTTCGAAAACTGCTATATTTTTAGTATGTGTAAAATCAGTTTGGAGTAAATACTTTCAAGTGCTTTTCAAGGTCAAAACAAAAAGTGTAATTCTGTGAGTATGTGTATGACTTTTATAATATTTTAAGTGGCATGACAATAAAAACTCTTTGTTTAAAATTGGTTTTCAGTAAAAGTCAGCACTATTTTTTCAACTTAAAACATTTTGGGGTCACTCTCCCAAAATGTTTTAAGTTTGTGGGTGGGTGAGTGAGTGAAAAAAGAAAAGAAATAAAAAAATAAAACATTTTGGGGTTAAGAAACAGAGGGTTGTAGCTATCTGGCCAAAAGAAAATTACTTACATCTTGGGGTGAAGGGGACTTCAATTTTTCACCACTACAAGATGAACGAATGTACTGTTTACATATTTCTTAATTTTTTTATTCATTAACAGAATTATTCTCATGTTCTTACGTTTGTATATTCACTACCATTTAAGATAACACAAATCTCTCATGTGAATTAAAGACACAAAGGCATGTGTTTTCCAGCATTTGGAAGTTTATGAATAGCAAGGGGAAAAAAGGCAAACTGTCATACATTCAGAATATCAGAAGTAAAGCAGAAAGAAGTGCAAAAATGTAAACTACACAAACTCAGTCTCTCTGGAACTATCAGTAAACTAACAATACATTTCACTTTTAAATGTTGATATTCCACTCAAAGTTTGGTTGGTTGCTAAGGTTAAGGATAAACATCCAGAAAAACTGGAAGATAGACTGGCCAAACACGGCTGATTCAGTAGCAAATCAGACATTAAATCACAGTGGCATGTGAGTCAGTTTATTCAAACTTATGTTACAAGATATTCTTAGAGTAATTTTAGGAAAATAAGAGTCATTTGGCCATGCAAAGAGGACTGTTTGTGTACAGTGAAATTCAGATTCCAGTGAACCTTCTCATCTCTTCAGGACCTGGGAGCTAACAGTTCAGGACTTTATTGTGCTCTGCTGCACAGCCTGTGTTGTGTACTTTCCAAATGGTGTTATTCCCACGGGCTCTTCCCAAGTGAGTTCTGCCCATTCTGTAGATGAAACGATAGCAGAAAAAGAAAACAATATATTTGTTCAACAAATGTTATTTCCTTTCCTCAGTCATCTCAAAAAGGTTGAATAATTTTAACCCTTGGAGAAATACCTCCGTAAGCCCCTAAACAAAATATGTAACAGCTTATTTCATGGCATGGATTTAAATATGGTACAAATTTGACAGCTACACTGTGCACCAAATAAAATGCAACTGGAAAGAACACTACCGAAATATGGATTAAAGGTCATATTTCAAACCCTCAATCATACTTTGACTGTCGATCATTTGGATATACGAACCATGATAATAGTCATTGAGTCCTTATTATGTACACATGGTTTTCATAATCACATTATCTATTTAATTTTCTCACCAATCCTATGAGGTAACTACAATTCTTACCACCATTTTTAGATGTGAGGAAATTGAGGCACAAAAGGGTCCAGTAAACAGCCTACAGCAAGGTATGAGCAGAGCCAGGTGCTAACAGGCATCCATTCAGCTTATAGTTAAAAATATACAGATGTACAATAAAGGAAATTAGAAATATTTTTATCCCCAAATATGGCATTTTGACGTACTGGACTGACTGAAGAAGCCTCAAGTTCTCTGACCTTCACGCCACCACCACCACCACCACCACTCTCTTTGCCAAAATCTTGGAAGTTTCTCTATCTACCTGAGATCCAGACTCACCTAAGAGAACAATTGTCCTTTTCTTCCCCTCCCTACAAGACCAGGAATGTGACCACATCTGCAGAGACCAAGAAGATAATGCCCCATCTCTCAAGACTCATTTCATTCCAAAGGAAACTATTTACCAGTTCATCTTTGTTCCCCATCCATTCATCCTCCCTAGTAATCCTTGATTGCCCCTAAACAGAATTCCTTTCCCTCCCTCCCATAACCCATTTTACCAGAAAGGCATATAAGCTTGTGAACCCTGTTGGGGAGTTGAATCTTCATTGTATGAGGATTCTCATGTATACGCGTTAAAATAAATTTGATAATTTTCTCTTATTAATCTGCCTTATTGTGAGTGATTTTTCAGCAAACCTTCCAAGGGTGAAGGGAAAACTATATATATCCAATAGATAGATAGATAGATATCTATAACTAATATATATCCAATAGATATATATTCTGATAAGAAAAATCTTTTATAAGCCAGGCCCAGTGGTGGCTCACACCCATAATCCTACCACTTCGGGAAGCCAAGGCCAGAGGATTGCTTGAGTTCAGGAGTGCAAGACGAGCCTGAGCAAGAGCGAGACTCTGTCTCTACAAAAAATAGAAAAATTAACCAGGTGTGGTGGTACAGGCATGTAGACCCAGCTACTCAGGAGGCTGAGGCAAAAGGATCAATTGAGCCCAGGAGTTTGAGGTTGCAGTGAGCTATGACAATGCCACTGCACTCTAGCCAGGGCGACAGAGAGAAATTCTGTCTTTTACAGAATACATTTAAATCCCAGCATATTTAAATGTTATTCTCCATCAGCTCTTAATAAAAATGAACTTCCTATAATTATTTCCTGTAACTAACTTCATCCTTAGGAATATGGAACAGATGAATCACAAGTGGCCATCTAAACTGATCAATGAGTCTGTAAAGACATACATATCTTGGTATTTAGAGAGGATTTGACCTCAGTCCAGAGGAAATTGTAATTTTTGTGCCTTTGTATACCCATTTCTTGGCAATGGAAACAGATGTCAGAAGCCAATGTGAAGAATTTTACCAGTTATTAAGCAGTGTTAGTCCCAGATCTTTTTTCCTGTTGAGTTCATAATATTTCTTTCTACATTTCAAAGAAACATGGTATTTATTAAAAATAATTATTTATGAGATCCATTTGAGGTCAGATTCTTGATGCTATGGGGACAAGCTGAATTTGGAGCAAGAATCAGCTCAATAGAGTAACATAATTCTGATGATAATTTTTAAAAGAACAAACCAATTTTTTGTCATTGAATTTCATTTCTATAGTGCTATCTTGTATATAACTACAACATTTCTTGAAGAATGGGTGATAAATTCAAGCTTAGAGTTTCAGGATCCAATTCAAATGTAAATTCTTTTGATGCCCCCTAGGGGAAAGCTATTCCTTGGATCTCTGGTGATTTATGTTTTCTGAAGCAATCTTTCACTAGTGAGTGAGTTTTCATAAATCTTTCCTTATAATATTTGTGTGTGTGTGTGTTTATAAATAAATAAATATACACACACACACACACACACACACACACATGCTCACTGATGTAAACCATATTTCATCCAAATAGTTCAGGGAGTGTTATAAGTATTAGTTTATTATTTGACAGAACAGATCTAAAAGTTAAATGTGTCACATATACTATTTCCAATTTTGTTGCTTTAAAAAAAAGGAAAAAGTTTGAATACAGCTTAGAAGCTTCTACATGTTATAGCTAACTTTGTTCTGGGTTGGAAAATTTTAGGTTAGGCTACTTGAAACCCCTTTGGGAATCTGGGACAATGAAAGGAGGTAAGCTATACCAAGGCTTTATCCAAAGATCCCACAGCATCTCTCAACTATTGTAAAAATTCATGTCCCTTTTTGATACATATAAAAATTTCCTATCTCCAGTAGATTCCAATAATTCCACTTCCCATCCATCCCACCATAGAGAAATGCTGCCTTGGCACCAGCCTGTTTTGTCATTTTCCTTCTCTGCAATTTATACTATAAAAATATAATTTTTTAAACATGCTCCAAGTATGAAATTACAGTGAAGCATATACCCTTTCAAAAGACATTCACCTGCCCTTTCCCTTGCACATCCCATCCCATCCTCATCATTGTAAAACCCATGCCTCCCTCATCACTTCTCACTTGAGAACCTCTACTCCACAGGTCATTCAAGCCTGGGTTCTGTTAGGCAGTGACCTCAAACGACTTTGCTTGGGGAAAGTAGAGGGCCAGGAAGGTAGCTGGGCCTCAAGGTTAGAGACACCAGTTTAGAGCTTCCTTCAGATGTAAAAAGATCGTCTTATGTCTGGGTAACGTGAATGGCAGGCTAGTTCACACCTTTCTCAAAGAGGGTAGAGAGCTTGATAACTCAACCCCTAGGAATAAAAGAATGGTGGCTAGGAGGGATGATTAGAAACTCCCAAGGGAACTTTCAAAGAGATTGAGAAAAGGCAAAGAGACTGGCTGAAAGCAGAGCTGGCTCATTTACACCTAAATAGAGAATGGAGAGTATGGGTGTGGCTAGGGCAAACATGGCAAGTACTTTTTAAGAACTTGAACTCACTGTAATTCCCCCTTTGTTTATTTTTCCTAACCAGTGTATGTGTGTTATTTTAAAAGTATTTTAAGCCTAGAACTGGAGTGCAGGCAGAAGGTGAGTTTGAAAACATTCTTTTACATTACTATCAGTAGGAAGAAGAGGGCCCAGGGAGGAAGATAAGGGTTGGTAGTCACTGGAAATGAGAAGTCTTCAGTGAAACTTTACTGATCTTCAATATGAGAGATACCCTGGGCTTCCCCCAAATCTCTAGTTCTCACTAGCAATTCGGGGATTCCTTGGAAATGCAGAAATAGTATAGGTGAAAATTAGTGTACCCATATTTAATTAGTG